TTCTGCAGCTCACGGTCTGTGGAGGGAGGAGAGGCTTCTGCAGCTCACGGTCTGTGGAGGGAGGAGAGGCTTCTGCAGCTCACGGTCTGTGGAGGTTGCAGTCCGTACTCAGCTGCCTCCAAGGCGGGGTGGCACGGTGAGAGGCCACAGTCCAAGGCGGCGGAAGACAGCAAGAGCAAAAGCGGGGAGCAAGCCTCTCCTCCTCACCTATAGTGCGGGCAGCTGCCCGCCCCGGGTGGGACTCACACCGTCTCCGTGCCCGCCCCTTGCACAGGCTCGGGGTGTCCGCAGAGTGAGGCCCCTGGCCGCTGTGGAGTGGCTTTGTTAGACTGCACTTCTGAAGTTGACAGGGCGCATCCACCCCTGCTCCGCGGCAGCGACGGGGCGCAGCACTGCCTGCGGATCTGAACTACGGAAGGCGCGTTCTCCCGGCCGGCTCCCCACCTCATTTACCGCTCACCCGAGGTCGTACCCTGGGAAGCTGAGGAAATCTCACTTTAAAAGAAAATGAGCAAGTCACAAGTGCAAAATACCGACAGGGAACAAGTGAATGCGTTCTTCAGTCTGAAGAGCAAGCAGCTCGCCCGCGGCATACAGCAGCCTTAAAGTACAGGCACGAACTTGGTGCCAGTCAGTGTCCACCCTGGAATTGATATGCTGAGAGGCTTTCATCCAAAATCGAAGCAAACGCAGGAATCTTGTGCAGAACGACAAGGCGTTATCAGAACATTAGGGAGTGCTTAAAATTTAAAAGTCATCGTTGTGGGGCTGGGGATTTAGCTCAGTGGCACAGCGCCTGCCTGGCAAGCACAAGGTGGTCAGTTTGATTCCCGGTACCGGAAACAAAACAAAAAAAGTCATCGTTGTAAAAAGTCACACTGCCATGAGTCCACTCACTTTGGACGCACACATCTGCCTTTCTGGGTACTTGGAGAAGCCGCTCTGGACCTTTTCCTGATGTCCCTACAAGGTGTGGCCGAATGCTGCTGCCCGGCCCCCTCCAACGGAAGACAGCTTGAAAAACACCTCACCGCCTCCCCACCCACCTCACTCAGTGTGTCCCGCACCATGTGACGACGTCAAAATGACCAGGAAAGGAAAACGTTTTAAATCAACTCGGGATGTCCAGGTAACTGAAGATGCACAGGAAAAACAAGCAGTAGTACACGAAGGATTTCAAAACAGCTGGAGAAAGGTCTTGGACTGTCTCCACCACAAAGAATTGAAAGACGAGGAGACAGACAGCTCGCCCTGACAGACACCTACCAGCAAGAGTGCGCCCTGAAACGCCGGAGCGTCCCCCATATGCACAGCTTTATGTCAACTTAAAAGACGGTGTGTTCTCGAAATCTGCGCTAAAAAATATGTGGCTGACACGACGATAACACACACTTAAAAACAGTAGAGGGTGGGTCTCGTGTTGTGTTCTTGCCGCAAAGACAAAGAAAGATCAAAGAAGGAGGGAAAGAGGGAGCGATGAGGAAAGGTGCAAAGAAGCTTTCGGCGAGGTTCTATTTATTGCCGCTGCTGTGGAGGCCATGCCGAGGGCGTGTGCGTGTATCCAGACCCACCAAGTAGTATAGTTAGACATGTCGGTGTTTTCGTGTATCAGCGCTCAACTGATCCGTTAAAAACAAAACCAAAAGACTATGCTGGACACAGTCAGTCAGCGCCATTTACCTGATTGCTTTTCCACCAGAACTGCTGTTCCCGATCTTGACACTCATCAGAATCATTTGAGAAACTTTGAAAATGCTTTGATCTCATCCCCAGACAATTAGGTCAGGGTGTAGACCCCCAATCAGAACTGTGAATCCACTTCCCAGAGAATTCCAGGGTGTAGCCAGCACTGAGGAGCCCTGAGCTACGTTACAGTCGCCAGGACTGCTAAATTTGCCTTACCCCACCCCTCGGTCTAAGTGTTTAAACCACACCTGTACAAAGTGCTCCAAATGTTGGTTTGACAGTAGCGAAGCAGGTAGAGGAGAGGCTCTATCCAGTTGAGTGCTTGTGTGCTCGTGTGTGTGCATATGTGTGTTCTTGTCTGGTTTGTGTGTGTGTGTGTTCATGTGTGTTTGTGTGTGTGTGTATGTGTTCATACACCCACACTATTGTTTAAAAAAACACTGGTCCCACTCTGTCCTGCAGTACCGCACATAACTGCAGTTTAAGGAGCAGCATCCAACCTAAGCTCAGCCCGGAACCCGCAGGCAGACCTCCACACCTGCACAGAAGCACATGCGTGCTGTCAGCACGGCTGCGGTGTGAACCCTTCCGCTTGTTTCCCTTCGCACTCGCAGTTCTCCTTAGTCTAGTGGCTCCTTTGCTCCCGGGTTGCCAGGAGCACCGCGCCAGCAAGCAGGGAGCCACCCTCGCGGACACAGTGAGAGCTGCTTTCCTGCTGCCCTCACCTTCCTCACCTGCAGAGAAGGACCTCCATGGGCCTTTCCCGTGGAGCGCACGCACTCGTAGATATTGTCGAGAACACCGGAAACACCACACTAGCAGTCACCAGCCAGCACCTTACTCCTGCCTGAGCAGTGCTTTGCCGGGCCGGTGTTTGCTCTGTGAGGGTCGTTGCCGCTTTCTGGTGCCCGGGAGCACTAGGCCGCACAGCCGCACTCTTCCCAGGGACCGTTTCAAACCGTGAAATCTTAGGAAGCATGAAGCGTGGCTTACATGCACCTCAAAGAGGACCCACTTCCAGGGTGGAGCCGGCGCAGCACAGCTGGCTCCCCCTCTCTCCCGCGTGCAGCTCCACAGCACAGGGGCACTGCGGTGCTCATCTGGGGACCACAAGTAAACGTCAGCCAGGCGGCAGAGTCCCCGGATGCCAGCAAACAAGTGAATTCCGTGGGCCCATGTTCAAGGCCGCTCCCCGGAGTGCGGCTCTCAGGGTTTAGCTGCATTGTCCTCCCAGCCACCGCCCCAGCACGCACCCCCCCTGCATGCTCATGGTCACTCCAAGACAAGCTTCCATCTCTCAGCATCACACTGACTTGACATTTCCCAGAGACGTCACCATTCCAGAACTATGGGAGTCAGAAGAGAAACGCTCTGGACGTCTGCACATACTGGGG